CCATTTTCCAGCATTGCCCGTCTACGGTATCTGAAGGACGCAGCCTGAGAAAGGACTGGGAACCTTACAACATAACCAGACTTAGGTTTGCAAACCCCAAATTTATTTTAGCCCTTCTTGGTTACATTCCCAGATGGAACACTTATCTGCCTGCGGAGCTTTGGGAGCTGCTCCTTGTCCATTCCAAGGAGGATTAGAGGCAGGTCACAGCACCCACGTCCCCTTCCCAGGGATAAAAACAATGAGGTGGGATCAGCTATTGCCTGGAGCCATGGCTCAGGTTAGACCTGAGCCCAGAGAGAACCCAGTGTTAGGTTACAAGCTCACCTGTGGGAGGGCAGTGCCCTTGAAGAACCAGGCGACTCCCTGCAAAGTGGAACGTAATCTCCCAGTGGAGAAATTAAAACTCCATCCCAGCCTCCAATGGCGAGAGCACATGAATCCTCCCCAGGCCATTCTGGTCCTTGCCCAAGTGTGCTTAAGTAGGGAGAAGGAGAGACAAAGTCTGAATTAGTTTCACTCATTTTCTCTCGATTAATATTTCTGGAGGGCCTGAGTGTAGAATACTCTATTAGGAAAGAAGATTCAGCAGAAAAGATCTGGACTTTGTCCACCAGGAGTGCATAAGGTGGTCTAGAAGACCCAAAACACTGGATGAAGGCTCCACACTACTGCCAGGCAGTGCTCGGGAGCCCAGCCAGGCTCCAGGAGGCCTGGTTTCTGAGTCCAGCTGCGCCACCAACTCTCCCAAGTATTTTGAGCAAGTGTCTCTAAATAACTACCTTTTGATTTCCTTCTCCTTAAAATGAGGAGAATGGGCTACAGCAGGAGGTCTTTTTATTTATGTACTTATTTAAGTAGGCTCCATGCCCAATGTGGGGCTTGAACTCACAACCCTGAGATTAAGAGTCACACACTCTACTGACTGAGCCAGCCAGGCACTTCTTGAGCAGGAGGGCTTAATCTGGGGTTTGTGGACTCCCCAGAGCAGTGACTAAATCTTAAAGACCAAACACCTCTCTTTTATAACATACAGTGTCTAATTCCCCTTTACAATTCTGAAATGAAATTCATGGGTAATATAACCCACCTAAACACATAATTTAAAAAGCACTTAATCTCCCATCAGGAGAAATAGAAGGAAGCTAATTTAGAATATGTATTTGTTTCCATATATCAATGAGAGGGGACGATCACACCCATGTGCCGCCAAGGGTCCGTGATGGGCTCCAGAAGATCTGAAGTTGTGTGCGTTCATCAGATTGTCAAGGGAGTCAGTTCCCAACAAAAGTGGAGGAGCCCTAGTTTGGAGGATCTCTGGGGGGGGGCGCTCTACAGGTCTGTCAATACATGATTAGTGTCAAAATGAACCATGCAATTCATGAACTCCACTTCCTTTGGGCCTGGACCTCTGAACAGCCCCTTCCTTGTTTCTGAGGGCAGACTATGCAAAGCAGAGCCATCTCGGTGGTGGTGCTTGATCCAAGGAGCTCAGACCTCTCCTCCAGCATGACCGATTCTGGTTGCTGGGGCTCTGTCGTGCAGGGCAGTGAGGAAGTGTCCCTCTTTCCAGAGGGACTATTGGTTCTGAACGACCTCTGGTACAGAGAAAATTGATGAGTAATACTTCCCACCCTGAAGAAAGTGTGGGTGGTGGGTCTACCCAATGTCTAAACTATGCATTTTATCTAGGGGCAGGAAAGGGGAGAGGTGAAATCTCAGGAATAAATACACTGTTTGGTTTGTTTGGTTTTTTTTTTTGGCTTGTTTTAATTTTTTTTTTCTCCCTGGGAAAAGTGAGAGAAGACCAGGATAGAGAAAGGGCAGAGCCAGTGTTTTTGTTCTCACACTCTGTTCTCTTGAAGGGCTGTTCGACTGAAAGGGAACAACTTCTCAAAAAGAAAGGGGTTAGATTAAAAGCAGTCTGTTCCTTGGCCAAGGCTTCAAAGCCGTCTCTGCCAACTCCATGCCCATTTTGAGTTTTCCTAATCTTTTATGATTACAAACAGGGGTGCAGTGCGCATCTTTGTCCATTTATCTTTCTATGGGATACTTTCCTGGTTCAACAACTCTGTATATTTTGCCTTCGCCAGAAACTGAACGGGGCTTGTCTTCCCAGGGCCCAAGTCAGGCAGCAATGCAGGTCAGAGGGAAATTCCAGCTCCATCACTTCCTCACCATGTGACACAGTGACCTCCTTTTTATACGCTATAAAGCAGGACTAATGCTGAACTCATAGAGTTATTTTGAGCAATAATATAATAGTATATATAGATTACCAACCCAGGGCTGAGACACCTAGGTAGCCATTGTTACCATTACTATTATTACTGTGACAACTGCTCCTACTGATTCTGCCCCGCCAGTTCAAGCTGTAACTCCTCTCAAAAGCCTTTTACATGATGTCAGTCTGTAGGACCCTCTCCTTGTAAGCTGTGACAGATGTGGTTGTCTCACTCATCGGGCACTCGGCATGTTCTGTCTTATGTTTCTTTCTCTCTGTGAATATTGTGTCAGCCCAGCTTAAGTTTTAGAAGGTGAGGGACCACTCCTTATGCCACCTTTGTCCTCATTACGTACCACACTGCCTTGTTCAGACAACAAAAATCGCTGTCCTTTGTTAGAATTGCCTGAATGTCTGTTTTTCTGCCTCCCCTCAGATGTCCTGCGGTTTGACAACACCTACAGCTTCATTCATGCCAAGAAGGTCAGTTTCACTGTGGAGGTCCTGCTTCCAGACAAAGCCTCAGAAGAGAAGATGAAACAGCTGGGGGCAGTCACCCCAAAGTAATGCCTCTTCCCACAGCAGGCATGGCTCCCAGTGTCTCCCTGTCGGTTTCTGTCCCTTATAACAGTCGTTTCCCAGTACCCAGATGCCCAAAAAAGCTGGGCTACAAGAAAGAACTTGGGCTGGATCTGGGGAACTTTCATTTCAGAATTAGGAAGAGGGGGAGCAGCAGGAGAGGGTCTCCTTGCCTCTCAAATTACTCAGGAGTCCCCAGGGGCTGGGCACCATGATAAGGATCTACCATCCTATAAGCTGTGCCAACTTCACCTGTCCAGTGAGAGCTGAGACAGGAAGGGATGGGGGGGGGGAAGATGCAGGTGACAGCAGGGCAGAAATTAGAAAAGCGGGGAGAGATTGAGACCTAACACTTCAGGGAAGCCAGCTGTAGGGAACTTGCTCCCAAATAAAAATGTTAAGTCTAGATCATTATGAGGAGTAGCAAGGTAGCAGGTTGCTAGAGTTATGGTGGGGGTCAAAGTCTCTTCTAAACTTTCTATCTCCAAGGCTGGGACCTTTTGGCTTTTCCCACCAGGTTTCAGGGATGGCCTGAGTCAGTATAGCTCTTCCCACTCAGGGGTAGACAGGGAGGCCACCTCAAGACTTCTGCAACTCTTGGGACCCACTGGCTGTCTCTTTAATTACTGATTGTCAGTGACTCAGAGCTTCTCAGGACAGAGATTTGGTACCCAGCCACTGTCCTCCAACGCAAAGCACAGAGAAATTACCTCCAGGGATCCCAGCTCCAGGATGGGCCCGGGACGCTAAGGGTGGGAGTGAATCCTGAGGCTTCCAACCCCCCTCCCCCTTTTCAGTGCTGTCAGCCTCTCATCAAGTAACTCTCCATTTGAGAACCCCACACAAAAATGACAAGTGGGGGATCAAGACAGTAGATCTCAGTGAAGGCCTTCCCAGTCTGAGTCTCCCACGGTGCCGGCCAGCCTGCTTCCTGACTGACCTCAGCAAGGCTTTGGCAGTCCCATCTCTGTGGGAGGCGTATGGCTGGTGCATTGGGTTCCTGGTGTCTGGCGGGGAGGCTGCCTGGGCAGGAGGCCAAAGGCCGGGCCTGCATCTGGGGGCAGCCACGAATAGCCTCGCAGGCCCCCAGCCTCGCCGTCCACAGTGACAAACAGGGATGGCCAAGGGGGCGCTCAGCGACCACGGACTGCAGGGCACGGACCCTGCGGGCAACCACAGCCCGTAACCCAACGCCACGCCCCGCAAACGAACACTGGAAAGCGCCCCCCGCCCCTCCCCCGGGCCCTCGCAGGAACTCCTTTCCCTCCGAGAGCCAGGCCCCCTGGCCCAGCGTGGGGAGATGGTCTGGGGAGGCTGAGGAAGGAGAAGGAGCAAGGCTGGCACTGACGAGAGCAGCCTGAGGCTGCGCCGGCACCAGCCACACCGCTTAGGAGGGATCATCCCAACCTTGGTTTACAGCGCTCTGTTAGGAAAATTAACCAATGAATAAAGCAACGTTCAGTGCACAGGGAGTGGAAGTCAATGCCCACCGCCTCGCTCCTCGCTGCCCCTCACTCAGAATGACAAAATTTACGTCTCAGGAACACCACCTAGTCGCCAATAGGTGGGGCGCGTGCGCAGAAGCCACCCGCTGCTCTCCTCTAGCGCGCTTTCCCATGGGGCCCAACGGCCAGCTTGCTTCCCGATTGGCTCAGCCGATGGGCTGTCTTCCGCCATCTTTGTTAAGGGTGCCAAGGGGCCTCCGGGCCGCCTTCAAGGTCTGGGCGGAGGCCCCGCCCCACTCGGTTTCTGGATACGTGCCGGAAGGTTCTAGCGCGCTGATATGTGCGCGTCCGGGGAGAACGTGCAACGCCTGCGGTGGGCACAGAGTGGGAGGGAAGCGGACGAGCGACGCTCACGTGGTGCTAGGGACCGTCTCTTAATTCTGCGCCAGCACTACTGGTGTTTCCGGAGCTGGAGAGCGCTTTTGGTCCCGAGCCCAGCTTCCCGAAAGGTCACCGCTGACCCGGCTGCCCTACACGACCATAGAATGACAGAGACGCCCAGGGCTGAAAATGGGTCCTTAATATTGAACCAACGGCCTTTATTTCCTCCATCTTTATTTGATGATAATAAAAAAGCTAATTCTTTAAAATGAGCGCCTAAATAAATAAATAAATAAATAAAAATGAGCCCCTACTGGGTACCACGCAACAACCCTGTGCTTACGGCCCTGGGTTGTTGCAGAGGTTCAAAGAAATAATACGTGCAAAGCACTTAGAGCTTTAAGAAGTGAGCGCTCAGTAAATACGGGCTGCTAGTAGGTTTTACAGACGTAGCTAATAGGTGGCACAACTTGGGATTTGAACCCAGAACCACCTGTCTTTAATGGCTGCCTCTTCGCAGCCTGATACCTCCAAAATCCAAAGGATTCTCAGCTTTAGCGAAGTGCACTCATCGCTCACGTGAGTAAACTGAGGTCCAGCTGGGGAAGAGTTTCTTAGTAATCTCTACCACCCAAGACCACTCATTCTTTTCTAACTTTCCTGACGTCTTGTTTCCCTTGCCTCGTTCATTCGTTCGTTCATTCGTTCATTCATTCATTCATCCATTCTAGGTCCTGCCCCCAAAGAATCTTGGTCTAGGGGTTATGCCGATCCAGTTAGACCTCAGAGCTTGATATATATATGAACAGGGCATCTGGCAGGAAGGCACTCGAGTCCAAATATCCACCTCACCAGGGTGCTCACTGTTCACCCCCCAGCCTCATTAACTCAGCTCAATTTAAGAGCGCGGGACCTGGAGCCGCGGCCTGGATTCAAATGCCAACTTCACCACTTCGCTGGATGACCTGGGAAAGTGACTTTTTGTGTATGTGCGTGCCTCTATTTTCTCATCTGTAAAATAGGGGTCCCAGGTTGGTGGGAGGCTTTAAGGAAGTAATCTGTCTAGAGTCTTTAGCCAATGGTCTGGCAAGCAGTAAACTTAATAAATGATTTCTTATAATTAATCTTTGCAACTGTCCCAGGAATGAACACTGTGTTCCCCATTTAATAGATTAATAAAATGAGGCTCAGAGTACAGTCTCTTGCCTGAGGTCACACAGCTATAAAGTGTAACTAGGAAGTGTAGCATGCCGCATTTGAACCCCAGTCTCTTTGGCTCCAAAACTACAGTCAGTCGTGGGAAAGGATTGCTCCAACCACTCCACCCCGGAGAAAACGTGAAGAATATTAATATGTAAAACCCAAGCCTGGGAGAGGGGCTTCGGTGCGCGGGGTAATTTGCAGACGCTCCCTGCTGGCGGGGACCACACGACCTGTCCTTCAGCCCGGGACCTTCAGCCGGTCCCGCCGCGGCCGATTTGAGCGGTAGTGGAAGCTGAGGTGGTAACGGCAGCAGGACCCGCTGCAGTGGCTCCTGCCGAGGCGGAAGCGCCATGTCCGAGCCACCCCCACGGGATGCGGAGCGCGACCTTTTCCGGGACACGTGGGTGCGGTACCTAGGTGAGTGGGGGGCGAGGGGCACGGCGACTCCCCCACCATGTGGCTGGAGAGGCAGGGGTCGCCAGACGCCGGTCAGGGCCCTGGAGAAGGTGGAAGGATCATAGTTCTCATTCTGCATGGGCCAGAGACGGCTCAGCGAGGGCTCGGGACTTGCCCAAGGTCACACAGCTCAGGTCGGCTCAGCCCTGCCCTCGGGGTCTGTGCTGGTCAGTCTCCCAGGTGTAGGCTCCAACCGGGCTGGGAGAAACGGGGTGAGCGGGGCTGCCCTCTCGGGTATGTCTGGGCCCTGACTATGGAGTCGGTATCTGGACCCTCATACTGGCTCTGTTTGACACTCGGTTTTCTGCTCGGCATATAGAGATGAACACTGTCTCTCTCATGGGGTGGTAGTTGGAAGAGTAGAATGAAATAAGGCATAGGAAAGACCTGGCACATGGTGAGTGCCTGCCTCATCAGCCGACCTGCTCTTAGTCTCTGCATTAGTGCCCATGCTTCTAGAACCTAGACTGGGACGGCAAGGGAATGATAATTGTGACCGTACTCGGCTCTCCCACAGTCGCCCTAGAGTCGAGGTGGAAATCATGTTTGCCTTTTTATAGACTGGGAAACGGAAGCTCAGAGAAATAAAATCACTTATCTAAAGTCACCCAGCTACTATTTAGCAGGCTGGGATTAGGACTAGTGCCCCCTTGTGGAGCAAACCGTCCCCAGCACTGGAATTATTATTCTTATTCTTTTTCTTTTTTTAGAGAGACAGAAGGGGCTGAGGGAGAAGGAGAGAATCTTAAGCAGGCTCCACGCACAGCACAGAGCCCATCTCGGGGCTCGATCTCATAACCCTGAGATCATGACCTAAGCCAAAATCAAGAGTCAGATGCTTAATGGACTGAGCAACTCAGCCGCCCCCCACCATCAAAATTAAATGTCTCCTCCCCAACAGGCTATGCCAATGAGGTGGGAGAGGCATTCCGCTCCCTGGTGCCAGCAGCCGTGGTGTGGCTGAGCTATGGTGTGTCCAGCTCCTACGTGCTGGCCGATGCCATTGACAAGGGCAAGAAGGCGGGAGCTGTGAGTGTTGGCTTGTCCCTTAACCCCCTACCCTAGTCCACTCCCTTTGTGATTCCATCCACAGCCTGCGTGTGGTAAAATCCCTGGTGCGACAGTCCAATCCCAACAACCTTGCCTGTTGCAGTCCTGTTTTAGGGTAGCGCCCCCTGCCCCCAGCCCTGCATGTGACCTAGCCTGTACCCTACAGTTCTGGATGTGAATGAGTCCACCCTCAGCCCTGAACTGGTACAGTCCAGAACCTGACAGTAGTGTGGTTCTGTCCCCACCCCCACCCCCACCCCCCACTGGCCACTTCCCTCCCCTGCTCCAGCCTCATGCCCCTTCTCCACAGGGTTTCCCACCTCTGCCCCTGCTGGGTTAATTATCTCTTGTCCCTACCAGATACCGAGCTCTGAAGCAGGCCGCAGCACCAGGGTGACCGTGGCTGTGGTGGACACTTTCGTGTGGCAGGCTCTGGCTTCTGTGGCTATCCCAGGCTTCACTATCAACCGTGTGTGTGCTGCCTCTCTCTACATCCTGGGCACGGCCACGCGCTGGCCTCTGTCCATCCGCAAGTGGACCACCACTGCACTGGGGCTTCTGGTCATCCCTGTCATCGTCCACCCCATTGACAGGTGGGTGCCCCTTCCAGCCTCAGGGATCATCCACTCTGTAGGTGGTGAGAAGCTCCGAGAGACGTGGGGTGTCCCCACTTGGCATAGAACAATAGCAGCGGGGGCAGGGCTGGTAGTCAGGGCTCTGAGACAGAAAGGACAGTCTGTGCCTGTGTTCTGGCAAGTACTTTGGCAGTAAAGGTATGGGTGGTGCCTTGAGGGTATGGGACACAGGACCAATAAATTCTAGAAAGAAAACCCAGTGTTACAGAACAACCTGAGGCAGGCAGGAACAGGTGTACATTGGAGGGGATGGATTTGGGGAGATTTTGGTGACAAAAGCCTGAAGGAGACTGGGTTAAGTAAAATAAGAATGAATTGTTTCATGAAACTGAAAAGTCCAGAGTTATGCTGCCTTCAGGCATGGCTGGATTGAGGCACCCAAATGGTGTCATTAGGGGTCTTGGTCTCCCTATCCTGGTGCCCTTTTTCCCACACCACCCCATGTTGGCTTCACTCACTTTCCCCACCTAGGAGCTGAGATGGCCTCCAGCAGCTCCTAGCTTCCTTCCCACCAGCTTAGCAAGCCCCATAGGAAGCTTCTCATAGTTGACCAAAAAAATCCCAAGGAAGGTTGTCATTGGTCAATTCTGGACTGAGTGCCTACCCCTGAGCCAATTTCTCTTTTCTGATTGGCCACACTTGGGTCATGTGCCTGCTTTTAGACCCAGAGAATGGGGCCAACTCAATCAAACCAACAGAGAGTGGGAGGAGCAGCCCTTTCCCAAGGGAACACAGCTGATCCAAAGGCCCGAAGTGAGGCTTTTACCCTCCTTGTGCCTCAGTTTCCCCAACTGAATAAAGAAAAGGGTGATGTCTGCCACCTGGATGGCACTTGTGTCCTGCATCTAGGAGTCCCTTTCCTAGCCCTGATCTCCTACCCCCCTTTCCCTTCCTCCCAGGGGTCCCTTGCTCATCACTGTCTACCACCCCACAGGTCAGTGGACTTCCTCCTGGACTCCAGCCTGCGCAAGCTCTACCCCTCAGTGGAGAAGCCCAGCTCCTCCTGACCCTACCTGGTACTTGACCTGTGGTTTGGCCCACTCCCTGCTCTGGTCCAACTTCTTCCTCCTGCCAGGGGATGTGGATGCCTGGCTCCCTGCTGTCTGAGGCCCTGGCATCTGAGTATGTTTGAGCCAGATGGAAATTGAGAGACAAAGGCCTCAAAGAGTGGCAGCTGCTGTGACTCACAGAAAGGGAGACCTGAACCCCATCTGCTTCCATGGAATCCGTGATACTGAGGGGGAGTGGACCTGTCTTTTGACAAGAAAGTAACATCCTCCCATGGAGAATACAGAAGCCCGGATAGGGCAAGGAATATAGCCAAGATCACTTCGCAAGCTGGAGCCCCAGGAGCCCCAGGAGCCCCAGTGGCTTGGCACCATGGCAGTGTGGCTGGGCCGAGAAGCAGCAGACACTCGGAGAAATGCAGGAGTGTAGTTGCGGGCACCCTGAGGACTGATTGTCCAGCTAGCCCAGCCCTGGTGCCAGACCTGCTCCGGCCTGGCTGGAAGGCAGGACAGCCCCCGGCCCAATAAATCCTCAAGAAGTTGAGTTCTCTTCTCCTTTTCTTTTGGGGATGAGCAGGGGTGTGGTGGTGGGGAGCAGGCCCCGGGGGCCCTCAGGTAGGGGCTGACTTCTCCGGCCACGCATGGCTCACAGTATGTCAGGTACTCCTCACCCACCAACGCTCCCCTGCAGATGCCTGGGATCCCACCCTTGGTGCTGCCAGTCTCCTTTGGGCATTGACCTCTCTGCAAGCCTCCTAAAGCACCAACACCTCTGGAAGGGATACCACCGAAGCCTGATAGTGCCCAAGATGAAGACAATCCCCATAGGAGTATCAACGGGGGACTCCCAGGAGGAGACTCAGGAACCGTGGAGAAAAGGGAGCGACCCAGGAGGCTGTCCCTGGGAGCACTGAAGGGGGCATTCCTCCTTGATTCTGGGCCAGGCCCTTTTTTGGCTGCTAACAACTCAGAGGGGTAGAGAGATGGGGAGTGGGGTTTGGGATATGAAGCATGGGGCAGAAGCAGGCCTAGGTCGCTGTCGCTCAGCCCTGACCCAAGCCACAAACCAGCCGAGACCCTGGCCATGGCCCTTGAAGCTTGGGTGCAGACCTGGCGGCTAGCCCCCTCCCCAGAGAGACCCCCTGCACCTGGATGGGGACTTAACAGGGGCCTAGGGACTGGGCAGGATTGCTGGTGAGACAGGATGGGGGCTCAGGTTGTGGCTCATGCTCTGGGAGAGTCTGTAGCTACAGGGTGAGTCTCTCTGATGGTGGGCCTTTCTCTGCTGACCTCATCCCACAGCAGCTGGGTTCCTTTCCCAGGCTCCCCTTGCCCTGTGCCCAGGCTCCTACTGCTCCCTCCTGCTCCCTTCAATGCTCTGAGCCCCCTTCTAGGCCCCTCTCCAGTCCTGCACCTCCCTGCATCTCCCCACCAGGGTCGACCCACACCTGCATCCCTATGACATCTGGGCACTGCCACCCAGTTCCCTGCTCACTTGGTCTCTACCTTGGTCACTGACATCATGGTGTAAACATGTTCTTTTCTTGCCTTGGGACAAATAGCTTCATTTTCTCTCAACTTTCAGCATCAGTGAGCACATACCAGGTCAGAAGGTTAGAGGTGTGTAGAGGTTGGGTGGGTGGATGGCTTCAAGCCTTCTGGTGGGATATCTTTGTCTTCCCTTTGTCTCTGGGAAGTCCACTGAGGAGGCTTCCCACCGGATGATCTGGTCCTTTGAATTGAGTCAGGCTTCTGACGCCAGGGGTTGCAGAGGTGAGTGAGGGAGCCCTTTTCCAGAGCCTGGGCCCTTCTTGGGATCCCCTTCACAGTGGGAGACACTGGGGCCCCAGGTTCAGGGGCCCCCTGGCAATCCCAGTGGAACCTGGTTCTGGCCTCTTCCTTCCCCCCTTCCCCCACTTGGCCCCCATTCATGGCCTGCCAGGGTAAAGCCTGAAACCTCAGGCAAGTTAGCTGTGAGCTCATTCACTCCATCACTGTGGAAGCCACTCACCCCTCTGAGCCTCCTCATCCTGCAGAAGGATAACTGCTGTCCACTGTATATGGTTAGTAAATGCTACCTTTTTACTGCCAGGCAGCTCCTCTTTTTCTGTGATGACCATGTGATTCTCCCAAGAATCCTATGCAGTACTTCAATGTTTATAGCAATGTCCACAATAGCCAAACTATGCAAAGAGCCCAGATGTCCATTGACAGATGAATGGATAAAGAAGATGTGGTATATATACACAATGGAATATTAATCAGTCATCAAAAAATTGAAATCTTATCATTTGCAACAATGTGGATTGAACTAGAGGTATGCTAAGTGAAATAAGTCAATCAGAGAAAGACAATTACATGATTTCACTCATATGTGGAATTTAAGAAACAAAACAAGATCAGAGGGGAAGGGAGGGAAAAATAAGACGAAATCAGAGAGTGAGACAAGCCATAAGAGACTCTTAACTATAGGAAACAAACAGGGTTGCTGGAGGGGAGGGGAGTGGAGGGATGGGGTAAGTGCGTGATGGACATTAAGGAGGGAATGTGATGGAATGAACACTGGGTGTTATATGCAACTGATGAATCACTAAATTCTACTTCTGAAACTAATACACTACATGTTAATTAATTGAATTTAAATTAAAAAAAAAGAATCCTATGCAGTAGACAAAATCATCCCCGTTTTATTTTATTTTAAGATTTTATATATTTATTTGACAGAGAGAGACACAGCGAAAGAGGGAGCACAAGCAGAGGGAATGGGAGAGGGAGAAGCAGGTTTCCCACTGAGCAGGGAGCCCCATGCGGGGCTCGAACCCAGGACCCTGGGATCATGACCTGAGACAAAGGCAGACACTTAACGACTGAGCCACTCAGGCGCCCCCAAATCATCCCCATTTTAGAGATAAGGAAACTGAGGCTTGAGGTCACATAGGTACAAGGTAGTCCAGTACTCCCATACTCTCTCCACGTCATCAGCACAGTCTGGCTGGTGGAAGCTGTTGCCCATCCCCCTCACACCCATGACAGAGACTCTGCTCTGTGGTGTTGATGTCCATCCTAGGCCAGCATCTTCACCCACTGCCTCTGGCTCAGGACACGGAGCCTTGCAGGCATGTCTATAGCTCCAGGCCTAGGCAGTGGGGTCTAAGGAGTCCCCAATGCCTCCTGGGGTTTTCAAAGAAAAGGATGTTCACCAATGACTCTATGACTCATGGTTTTCCTGAGGTGGGGCTGGGGGAAATTCGTTCTCCAAGAGCAGGAGTTAGTCTTGGGTCTCCTGGGAGGTGATGCCCCTGGGAATGAGCAGGTCTTGTGCCTGCCACCTGTGAACTCGGGCAGGAGCGGTGGGGTGGTGGGCAAACCCGTGGCTGGCCTGGGGGCACTGGAATCAGTGTGCTTCTCCCTTTGCTCCTTTAATGTTTGCTCAGGGGCCCAGCAGCCCCCTAGGCCGAAGTGGGGCCTCTCCTGGATGCCTAAGGCCTGGCCCATCTGGAGGCTTACTTTGCACGTCCTCTTGCTGTGGCCAGTGAGTGCTAGAGGTGTTCACAGGGGCCAGAACCGAGATCGTTACCTTTTTAGGAATCATTTTAAACATAGCCATTATTAAAAATTAAATAATGGGGAGAGGCGCCTGGGTGGCTCAGTTGGTTAGGCGTCTGCCTTCGACTCAGGTCATGATCTCAGGGTCCTGGGATCCAGCCCTGCTTCGGGCTCCACGCTCAGCCTGGAGTCTGCTGCTCTCTCCCTCTGCCCCTCCCCCACTTGTCCCCCCCTCAAATAAATAAATAAAATCTTTAAAAAGGTTAAATAATGGAGAGAGGCTAGCACAAGGTAGCTGCGGCATGTGAAGGAGCGTGAAGGGCCTGGTTGCTGTAATAACTGGAGGAGCCTCTGGTCTAGGTCTGCCCACGGTGGAGCGACTGGTGGGGCAAGGGGCCACTGCTGTGTTTCTGGACCTGCCCAACTCTGATGGGCAACGTGCAGTAACTCTAAAAAAGTATAGCTTCTTAACTCTGCTTAGTGACTTCTTTTGGGTAGCCTGAAATAGGTCACGAGGGGACTTTCTACACCATGGAGATCAACAAATCAGGGTCCCCCCGCCGGGGGAGCCAAGGGTTAAATGTTTACCAGCACACCACTGCTCTGGCCCTCCTGCCAACCCAGGAGGTGGGTCATAGCACCATCCTCCTGTGCAGACCCCCATCTAGGATCAGACAGGGCAAGTGACTTGGCAGAAGCCTCACAGCCTTCAGGGTCACAGGTAAGACTCAACCCTGCTCTGCTCTTTCTCCTCCCCAAACAGCCAGGCAAAGAGAAGGGAAGGTGGCCTTGGCTGCAGCCCCTGCTTGTCTGGAGCCTTCACTCCAGCTTTTTCCTCCTCCAGCTGCTCCCCCAGCACCTGATGCTTGGGCTCAGGCCTTTCTCGCTCACTCTTCCCTGGGTGTTTCCATTCACTCATGTAGCTTCTGGCCCCAATCCTCTGCCACCACATGCCCTATCTGTCCCCTCCAGGCTTGGATGAGGGCAGCAGCCTCTGGCTTGTCTCCTCCCATCCTGCCCCCAGCTTTTCTATCTAGCCAACCACTTCTTAAAATGTTCAGAAAACTGTCCAGACCCCTTGCAGTGGCTCTTAGAGCCCTTAGACCCCACCCTTGCCCCCTACTCTAAATCTTCATTTCAGCCGTTCTGTCCTTTTTGGTTTCTTGGATCTGGCATTTGTCTCGACTGGGCTTTCTCATACACTGTTCCCTCCAACTGGGACACTCCCTTCCAACCTTTTCCCCACTGCTTCCTGCAGGCCCATGCACCCTCCCCTGACTATAGCCCACTTAATACCTTCCCCCTCAAGGTACCCTCTGATCCCCTAGGACTGGCATGGGAGCCTCCTCTGCGCTTCCTCCAGCCCAATATTTCCTCCACTGCCTGAGAGGAGGGCCAGACCCCTGTTGGGATCGGGGGCAGGGAGGCTTGTCTTTCCCCATCCTCCTCAGGGCTTTGTCCAAGCGCATTCTGGGAATTGGGAATCCCAGGGGCCACCTTCATGCAATGCTCAGCATCACCACAAGGAGGCAGCACCACAAAACATGCTCTTGTTGGCTGGTTCAAACTGCCTCCAGGATTATTGAGAACAGTGTGGGTCAAGTCCTATGCTAAGCACTTCCTGTGATGTGGCTCATTTACTCTTTACAATCACATCATAGTTAGGTCCCTGTTTCCTGGAGTTGGAGTCACTGGCCCAAGCTCACACAGTGTGGCCCCCACCCCTCCCTGCCCACCCACATAACTCAACATTCCTCCCACCTCCTCCACCTTCCCTCTCTCCCTCTCCCCTAACCCCCCTCCCCCAGCCCAGTTCTGATTCTGTATCTACTGCCTCCAAGCCCGTGGCTCTCTACACAGTTGGGGAGCAGCTGACTCACAGGCTGTGTGATCATGGGCAAGTTACCCAACTTCTCTGAGCCTTGGTTTCCTCACCAAACAATTCTCTGTAATGACCTCCTGAAGCTGCTGCCAGGATTACAGGAGAAATGACTCACA